ACCTAGGAGTGGAATTACTGGGTCATATGGTTACTCTGTGTTTAAACTCTTCAGGAACTGCTAGATTGTTTTCCAAAGCAGCTGCTTTATTTTACATTGCTACCAGCAATGTACAAGGGTTCTAAATCTACACATCCTTAGCAACATTTGTTATTTTCTGTTTTTAAAAAAATTATTATAGCTATCCTAGCAGGTACAAAGTGGTATTTAATTGTGGTTTTGATTTGCACTTCCCTGATGACTAATGATTTTGAACTTTTTTCACGTGCTTACTGACCATTTATATATCTTCTTTGGAGAAATGTCTATTCAGATCTATTCTCCAATTAAAAAATAGGGTTCTCTGTCTTTTTGTTATAGAGTACTTTATCACCTTTTTAACTGAGCAAATAAATATCATAAAGTTCCACAGCAAAGCTCCATGGTCAGTAAAACTTACCCACATTACTGTGTTATGTAAAGTACATTACAGTACATAATATGGGAGCATTACTGAAGCAACGTCATGCTGACTATTGCCCATGTATTCCAGAGCTCTGATTAGATTCATGACATGGATAAGACATTTCTATTTGATTGTCTTAGCATTTTTCTAAGATAGCAAAGCACTAACATACTAATTAATTAGATTTTTGTCAAATTTTAAATAAAATATAATACAATGATTTGACATGAGATTTTAATAAATGACTTAGTCATTCTAACAACTGAAGATAAAACTTTAAGGGTAAGTAAAACAAAATTCAATTGTTATATAGTAAAAATCCATCGATGCCCTCAAGCTATATAGGTAATTTGAAGTTTTACCTCTATGTACAATTAATTAGTGAAAATAAGTTGCAAAAATTTTACCTAAATTCCTACTGATAATTAGAGGTAAGAATCACCTTCTCTTCTTACAAAGTTTGGTGTCTTGCACAATAGCAGTGACTAAAATAAATGGTGCGAAGTTTTTAGAGAGAGTCTTGTTTAATTCAGAATATAATTAAAATCTCATGTAGCTTTATTGGTTTTAGTATCCAGCAGAGAAGAAATATTGAAACTCCAAGAGATTTTGAATTAAATAGCTACAACAGTTTTGTTTTATTAGTTCTGACTGTGTGAAAAAAAAATTATAAGGACAACTTTGGAAAAATCTAGTTCTTTTAGAGCCCCAAATGACTTTTAAAACAATAAAACAAACTATAAAACCTACACAAGTGATATTAAAAATTATGTAGTTCAATAAATGTGGACACTCACAAATGTGGTTGTAATTTTTTTTTTAACTATAGCAAAATGAACATGGATCTGACGATTGGATTTAGAAGAGGTGGTGTTATATAGCTTAACAGAATTAAGTGCTTCAATTCGCTGGTGAGGATTATGTAGCTGAGTTGGAATGTTGTACCAATGCCTTTTAAGATCTCCATCCACCTCACAGGGTCTGGGGCTAAATCAAAGAAAAGAATGAGGCTTCCTTTTCCCATATTAGTGATTATTTTCCTAGCATTTTAATATTTAGTTTGGAAAGTTTGTAGATTTAGATCTTTTTGGCTGGTAGCTGAGTCACGCATAGGATAAGCTATAAACCCATACCATTTATGAAGACGTGAGAATGATGGCTGGCTAGTGATTTATTATAAGGGCATTAAACAAATTGGCGTAATCATCTCAATTACTCTCTAGGTGGATGGGGCAGGAAAAAGGAGAAAAGCAATGATGAGGAAGAAAAAACAATTTTGTGAAAAAACAATAACCACAGTTATCTCCTTAGTTTACTGAGATCGCAATCTTTGAAGACCAAACATAACTTCTGAAGTCACCTTTGAGCTTCAGGTAATAACAACTGTCCTTTCTTTGTCTCCAAATCCCGTCTCTGTCCTCGGCACAAAGAAGAGCACATTTCACTTTCACAGTCTCCCAGCACCTGCCGTCAGGCCACCTGAGGAGAATTATGACCAGTGGAGGGGGCACAACATCAGACCAGACTCCAGAGAGACCAATCATTTGCAAATAGCCCTCCACAGATGGTTTCCAGGAGCAATACATTACCTGAACTTGTAGGCAGGCTTAAAAAATAATTCAAATAATTTTTTACTATTTAAAAAAACAGAGACAGTATTTTTATTTTTTAGCATATAAATTCATACTTATTTTTGAGTTTTTATACTAAAACTTTTCAAACCTACAGAGAAGCTGAAACCAGCTTCTGAACATCTGTGTACTCTTCACTTAAATTCACCAGTGAATAATTTTCTAATTTGGTTTATCTTGCTCTTTACATATACATATGTGTATATACATATATGTCTGTATGTATACATAACGATTTGAAAGTAAGCTGCAGATTTCATGACCCTTCACACCCAAATACCCTAGCTTGTACCTCCCAGAATAAGGAGACATCTCAACCACAATACCAATATCACACCTAAAACAATGAACATTCATTTAATGTCATCTAACATACAATTCATATTCAATTCTTCTCTACTATCTCCCCAAATGTCTTTTATAGCTTAAAAAAAAAACCCCAGAATCCAATCAATTGGGGTGATACTATGAGACCTTATGAAAATCCTCATCCTCAACAATATTTCACTTGATGATTTTAGTTCCAATGATTCTTGAATGAATGATTGCATTTTCTGATTTTATCAATCTTTCTACATTTGTTAGCTAGCATTCTTCCATCTATCATCCCTTTCTCTGAGTTTCTCTGTGGATAATGATACTATCACCTCTTATAATCTATATGTGTTTTGATGCTTAAATACTCCAAATTTGGCCAATGGAAGACCCTTCAAGTTGGTTCCTGTTTTCTGTCTGTGGTTGCTGGCACAAGATGCCTTGAGCTCACCTTGTACTTTTCCTGTCCCAGACCAGAATCAGTCACTCCTTCAAGGACCTACTTATACTATGAATAGGTCACACATCCACACGGTTCAATTCTCCAAATAGTCACAAAGTGTACAGTACATTCTCCCTCCAACTCCACCTGTTATTAGTTCTTTGTGCATCCTTCCAGAGATAGTTTATATAATAGAGCAAAGGCACAGATAACTATTCTTACCCTCTCCCAGGGTTTTAACTCGAATGATAGCATATTACACTTGCTGGGTTTGTGCCTGTAGCTCTTTGTCTCTCAATGGATTCTGAACAATGCCTATGATCTCAACCCCAAAAGATCAGAAATTTTTAGGCTAAGTCCTAAATGTTTTAGATGAGGAAAGTTCGGGGGGGTGACTTGAAAAGTTTACAACACTCACATGTTTTTCCATGGACTTGATATGCTGGTCCCTCTCTAGGCTCAACTGACACCTACTCATTTTTCAAATATCACTTCCTTGGGGAACTTTCCCTTCCTTAACACAGCCTTCTCCCCCGACAAGGTGATGTCTGTTCCCTCGTTAATAAGGTTTCAGGTCATCACGTACTTCTCCTTCCTAGCATATACATAAGTCACCTATTAAAATTTGTTTCCTGCCACAGCGAAGACAAAGAACTACATCTGTCTTACTCACTGCTGGCACACAGTAGTTGCTGAACAAAAAAGTGCAAACTGAAACTTGAACTCAGGCCATTCGGCTTCCAGCCCACTCTTCTTCCTACTGCGGCCCTGCTGCAATTGGAGAAATAATTCCAAGATATACATAAAAACTCACAATAGAAAAAGCCGCGAAGTCTTTTCATTTCCACGATTAATGGGGGACCTTGGCAGAAACCGCTCACCGCGAGGTGTGACGACCGCAGGAGGGCGTCAATCAAGAAAATGCCCCCTTGCCCCGAAGGCGAGTGGAGCTGCACAGAGCCGAGGCCACACGGGGTAGCTTCACGGCTTCAATAGAAAACACGTGTAAAACGGGAAAGCGGGGCTGTGCGCAGCTGCGATCCCCTAGGATCTGAACCTACGGGACATGGAGCAGCCCCCAATGGGTCGGAGATGATTGCACAGCTTCTGCCTGACGCCGTAGGACCCCTGCCTTCCCTCGATTTCTACACGAAGGGACTTCTGCCAGCGTCCCCAAGGAAATGGCTGAGTCCTGGGCCTCACAAATGAAACGGGCCGGAGAGGCCAAGAGTCCGGAGCACCTTAGGTATAATCGTCCTTACCACAATGGGACGCAGGCAAGGGCCGTAGATCTCCCTCCTTGGAGCTGCCCCAAGAACCCAGGGCATTTTCTCCCGGTAGAGCTCCAGAGACGCTCGGTGCCAACAGCCAGTGCCACCGTTACTCCAGGGAGCGCACCAACCAGGGAGGGTGCTCTCAAGCCTGCGAAGGCGCGGCCCTGCCAGTGGCCTCTACTCCCGCCACCCCGGGCCCGGACTCGGGCCCGGACCAAAGCCCCCGAGTTTCGGCGGAGATGCCTCCCCTTTGGGGCTAGGGCCGCTTGAGTCCATCTTCCAAGCCGCTGCTTTCCTTGTGCTTCGCCCGACGGACGCGGCCCTGGGCTTCCTTCGAGGGCGTCCTGGGCCAGGGTACCTGGAGCACCGAGGGTCGGCGGCGGCTGGGCAGAGGGGCGCAAGGTCCTCGGAGGCTGGGAGCGCTCAAGTCCCGG